ACTTTATGGTTTTGGCCCACGTGACAAAATGTTTGGACACCCCTGTCATAAAACAAAGGACAAATTTTAAAGAAACTTAGAGGAAATGCACATTGATTGTACATCTAAAACTCAACTTTTGGAGCCAACCAAATTCAAGATGGCTGCTACAGCCATCTGAAATTAGATAACACAGAAATATATGTCAGTTTTACCAATGTGTTAGCAAAATATCTCATGAACCACTGAATGGATTTTAATAAAACTCAAAGTTGTAATTGGTTATTGACCCTAACATTTGAAGTTGGTTCAGTTCAGACGACACAACCTTAGTCAACACAAGGCTGTAACTCGGTCAGTTTTACAGATATTGAGCTAAGTTTTGGTTAGTAGTAATTTCAACTCAAGCATAACTTCATGAGGTTTAACCAAATCAACTATAACTCCGTCCCTTCACAATAAAAGCTCATWTTAGTTTAAGACTTGTGCATTCTGTTCATTTTAGTTGAGGTTGAWATCTATGTTAATATTCGATGAAGAGAAACTCTCCAAGACACACGTGATGCTTCTAAGCTTTAATTGCAGGTTGGTGAAAACAGTAAAAGCTGGTCAGAAGAACAGGACAGCAGACGATCAGAGCGGTGGCTACAACATGTGTCTTCAGCTTCTCGGAGGGTCAGACCTCAGCGGAGGCGTCCTCATGGTGGATGTAATCGTTGATGAAGGGCAGGTACTCGGACACCTTGGTGTAGACGCTGGGGTGCCCTTGGATACCACATCCAGCAGAGCTCCCAAAACTCATGATGCCCACCTGCACAAAACCACTGTCTGACTGGCACACCAAYGGATTTCCATAATCGCCCTGTGGAGCAGAACAAGATGTTTCTGAGCCTCGTCACGGGGTGAGGTTACTGAAAACTGCTGTGGAGGGACGTTAGTCTCAGGATCATTACATAATTTATACAATTTGTCAAGGTGAGTAGAGAAAAATAACTTTACAGCAATGTTCATGTGTTTTCCCTTTAAAAACAGCATTTGCTATGTGGTATGGAGGACCAAAACTGACAATTAAAAATAAAAGCAGAAATATTTAAATGTAACAATAAATAAATACACTTAAAATGAACCAATGAAATAAAAAAAAACTTCACATCATGTTTTATAATTTAATTGACCTTCATGTTCATTTTTCCAGCTTAGTTCCAATAAATTATATATTTTAGAACATTTTAGAGGGAGGAAACATTTGTGAGGTCGATGGTAGATTTTGGTTTGAAAAATTTGTAAACTTTTTGATGATTGAGTTAGATATTCGTGTACACATTTGCCATTCTTGTCATTTTCTGAACTTTRGTTTTTCTCCATAGRACAAGAAAACAAGAAAGTTTGCAAATGAAGTTATTTTTCCTGTTTGTGTCTTCTATAATTCTTGAAACAAAACATTATTTCTGCTCCCACAGCTCGATGGAGAGCAGAGTCTGTTGTAGATGTGAGGTTATTCGTACATTGCAGGAATCCTTCCCTCCAGCACGGTCTCCTGCACACAGCATGGTGTCCTGCAGATTAGGAAATGTGGCTTTGCACTCCTTCGGAGGTAACACTTCAACTTGAACTTCCTGAAGAATCTCTGGGTCCGCCAGCGGGACTGCATGGACACACACACACACACACACACACACACACACACACACAGATTAAAGGTGAGAAGGTGGTGATCACATGAGGATTTGCGCCTAGGCCAGCTGAAAGATGAATAAAAGTTTGAAACAAAAGTTTTAAAGAGCATCTTTGTGAAAGTTACACTGAAGGTCTGAGACGTTTACGATCAAAGAACTGTTTTAGGCTCTTAGTTCACAAAATAAAAAGTGTCCAGTGCTGCACAATGTGCTAGAACTAYGAACATCAAGTGGTGGTCCACAGGCCCCTTCCAGTTCACTGGGAGATGTTTTTCGGTCAGTGGGGGTAAAGACCTCTGTGCTGAAAGCTCAAATAGATCAACTTGTTAAGTGTTTATATTATGTATAATAATGTAAACAGTGGAGGAGGGACAATTTATATATCCTTTAATAAAGTTTAAACACTCATTTGGAGTCTTTAAATTTGTGGAATATTTAATTCTACTTTAAATTGAATATAAAAGTCATATATATATATATATATATATATATTAATAATGGATATTGATGTTGACTGAAATTTTCACATCGGTGCATCCCTACTTTTTATTATTAAGATAACTGATTTCCCAAACTTTTGAAGAAAGCCTTTGTTTTTCATATCAGTATTTTGTTGTTAAGATTAACTTTAAAGTGATATTCTGTCTAAATATTAATAGTACCAGCTGTAACATCGGTCAGAGCGCAGAGTTTGGAGAAAAACAAAAGTTTTTGTCTAGTTTAGACTAMTAGTTAGCAAATGAGTTCCAGTTTTTTTAAGACTTCAGAAAACATTATTTCTTAAAAACAATGTATCAGTTAAAAAATGCTACATTGGCTAGCCATTAACCTAAACTGGACAAAGACTTTTGTCACTCTGTGTYCAGGGGTGACACTAAGGGGGGGTCCAGAGGGGGCAATGGCCTCCCTTAAAATATTGTCAAGGCAATTTTATCCTTTTGTGTTTGAAATTTTTGCTTGGTGTGCATTTTTTATTTCTTCTAGCTATTTAGGATCAGTAGAACCTCATAAAAACAAACTGTTTTTGAGCAAATATAAGTTAAAAATATAAAAAAATTATTTAAAATACAACTAAAATGTAGTCCCCCTGAATAAAAACATTCAGTCTAAAACCAATATCCTCAACATCAGGATGGCTCAGGAGATTAGATGTATGTTTTTTTTCATTAATGTTAATTTAGGAGAGGACAAACTTCTTTAAGATGAGTAGTGACAGAGCTTTTCTAAACAATAAAATCAACTCTGTGTGTGTAATGGTGTGGCACATACCCTTTCCAACCTTGCCCCAGCCAGTGGTCCAACACGATGAGGAGTCAAAGGAGTCATCACCACTGGCCAGCCTCACTGGGGACACAAGTTTGGAGAACTGAATCTTTTTCTTCAGCTGGACCAGAGCGATGTCGTTGATGTACCCGTTGATCAGACGTCGGTAGCCAGTGTGACGTATCACTCTGCGCACGCCCATGTAACGTTCTGCCGGCTGCTGCAGGGCGTGGGCACCGATAAACACGCTTACTCTTCTCCAGATGAGGTTCACCTGGCTGCAGTGCACACACACACACACACACACACACACACACACACACACACAC